ATCCTACCCGCACGTCATAATTGCTTCTCTCCCCACCTCGAATTTTACGTGACCTTTGTTTGCTGCTACATAATGTTGGCATTCTTAACCCTTGTCCCTGTTTAGGTTTTGAAAGCTCGCAATTGTTTCACCAATGAGGATGTGGCCATAAAAGTTATAAAGAATAAGCGTGCTTTCACTATCCAAGCTCAAGTGGAAATCCGTTTATTGCGTGAGATGAATCGCTACTTGGAAGAGGCTGAAGCCTCTGGAGAACACCCCCTCTTGGAGCAAACTATATTGGTAAGTTGTTAGTTCTTCTCCAGCCGTCCACTATGGAAATCACTGCAACGTCCAATCCTAGTATACTATTCTCCCTTACCCTTACTGAGCTGTTTTTTCACCCTCTGCATTAGCTGATTTGTCAACACTGGAATTCCCCCGTGGAGTAAAATGAGCCACATATCTGGATTTTTGTATGGAGTAGCATAACTCCGTCGGATCTCGTCACTCTTCCTAATTTTCTTCTCCATCTGTTTATGACTGTTCTCATCTACCGCTAATTCAACCAACAACTACTATCTAATATTTTGCTTTTACCTTCCGGTTCGCTTACTCACACATTTCACTTTTCGCGGACATCTCTGTCTTGTGTTCGAGCTACTGTCCTACAACCTTTACGATTTGTTGCGCAACACCAATTTTCGTGGCGTCTCTCTCAATCTGACGCGAAAATTCGCGCAACAATTATGCCACGCCTTGGAACTTCTTTCTCGTCCAGAACTTCGCATAATTCATTGCGACTTGAAACCCGAGAACATTTTACTTGTCAATCCCAAGAGATCGACCATCAAACTTGTCGATTTTGGTAGTTCATGTCACGTGAAAGAGAAAGTATACCAATACATACAATCTCGATTTTATCGATCTCCCGATGTCCTTCTGGGTCTGGATTACACCATGAGCATCGATATGTGGTCCCTCGGCTGCATACTGGTCGAGCTACACACCGGCGAGCCTTTGTTTGCCGGTCAGAATGAGGTGAGTCTACTCTCCATGAGCTCCCCCAACCTGACTGAACGCTTTCTTTCGTAGTTTTTCAAATGAAACGTCCTATTTTTATTGTACCATCTGTCCTCATCTTCTGGAACGCACCGTTGTCACCGGACTTACCGGCTGGTGCAACTCTGAGATCAAGATCCAAGATATTACAGGCTAACGACTTAATCATTAGAGGGTCACTATTCCTGGTGACTTAACTATCGTTTTTATTACCCACTCCAACAGTTTTTTGTGAGAAATAAGCACTGCCAGTTGATTTATTTCTCATCGCTGGCGCTCCGATGACATTCAACGTTACACCCCTCCATAACCAGAGCTGTTCGTGACTACACTTGTTTCGGTGTACGTTGTTCGTTTTCTTGAAGAGGAAAGTAACTATCTTCAAATATTACAGAACACTTCCTTATTTACCCTAGTTTCTAGTGCTTTTTGCAATACGTTGTGTATATGGATTTTATGAACTCTTGTCACGGAGTAACAGCTCTCGTGAACTCGGTTGCTTCTTTTGTTGGTTTCTCTCCAACACTCGGCGCCTGCACACTCAGATTGTTGGCGAAATATCACTGGCGTGCTCGATGCGTCAGATATGCAAGCGTTCGATGATGGAGCAACGACGCTGAACTACATAAGTTTATCTCTCTGTTCCTCTCACTGTACCTTCGATTTGGTATTAGAGTAACAGTCATCGCGATCACCCGTCTTCGATGGCCACTTTGACTCTTTGTGGTTTATACTTTAATTTCACCTGACTGGTTTACGCCTTATTTTGAGCTGCCGGCAACTTGATGCAAATAGTGAGGCCAGCGTTATTGCTTACTTGACTTTCTTGTTAGTTTAACTTTAATTATCGGACCTTGAGTGCTACTTACTTGCTTATGCTCCTTGTCTGTACACCAGACCACAGTTAGTTGGGTCTTATGTTGTCCCACTGTATTGGCCAGTTTTTCGTCCGACTGAGAACGATGCCCACTGTTTTGCATAACTACACTAGCTGCATTGCTCCGAATTCCATGTTACATCCAACCAGTCCAACACACTCGTGGCTTCATTAGCTACCTTGAGGAATTGGGGATTCCTTTTTACCGACAATTATATACATTCCTTTGAGTGCCCCATAGGTGATCTGCATCGTTCTTAACCATCCTCTTCTCCCTGCTCTCTTTTTCGACAGTGTCATTTTTTCCACCTTCCAAAGTAAAAAAATTTGATCGAATTATTGCTGGACATAAATTAAACTTATGAATGACCAGGTTCTAAAGCTATGTTTGAATAGAGTTGCATCTTCCGACTATGAATGATACCTCTAGCACTCTCTTGATCCCTCTAAGGCGCGATGGTGATCTAAAACCAGTTCCTCCGCATCTTGCTACATTGCCGTCTGTCGATTAACCGATGTCTTACCGTTTCCTTAGAACTTTGAGCTAACCTAAAGAAATACAGCGAATTCCAGAGGTTTAATCGTGCACCGGAGATGGAATTGGTCGCTGACCTTATTAACCATCTGAACTTGTTCCCTCTGACAAAGGAAACGGGCAGCAGGAGACCTGATGTTAATGAAACTATATGTGACGAGAGTGAACAGCCCATCCACGACCTGTTAAAACGCTTGAGTCGTTGGGCTGAGCACTGCGAAAACATCTATTTAATCGGCCGGGATTGTCACATTTTTCGTCCCTCAGTGATCGCCCTGCACCCTGGGCTGTCCTTTTTTGGATCTGCTTTCTCGCTCAGAAGCTGAACGTGAGATTGGACTGCTGAAGTTGAATAAGGCCGTCGGACCAGATGATCTTCATCCAACCCTCTTCAAATCTATGGTACTTGCTCGTGTTGAAAATTTACACGAGTTACTAGTGCAACTGTAAAGCAGGAAATTATTATCCCAAACGATTGGAGCCGCTCCATCATAGTCTCAATCTTCAAAGGAGGCTCCGGTTCGGGATGCGGCAACCATAAAGGAATCAGTCTAATCTCCATTGCCTCCAGGTTACTTGCCTCTGTCATTCTCCACAGATTGACGGGCACCCGAGTGAGCCAGATTCGTGAAGAACAAGCCGGGTTTCGTCGAGATCGGGGCTGCATTGATCACATCTTCAGTTTACGTCAATTATTGGAGCACCATCACATATATTGGCGGCCCACGGTTGTCATGTTCCTCAACATCAAAGGTGTCTTGATTCGGTACATCGATGTGGGTTTTTTTGGACTGTTTGCTCAGGAAAGGTGTGCCAGAGATGTTCATAGATATTATCCGATCACTTTACGGGCGTGGCTCGGACAGGGTGTGAGCTTACGGAAGGTGTCGCCGCCCTTCTGTCTCTCCATTGTTGCAAGACAAGAAAGCGCGGTGCCGCCTTTATTCTTCAACTTCGCCGTTCACGGCATACAACTTAGATGTGGCGCTGCTCCCAGGTGAACGACTTCTTGACTTTTAATATACTGACAACATTGCCATAATCTGTGACAGCTCTCAAATATGCCAAGCAGCACTAGACTGATTGCTAGTATCTGTTAGCCGTTTCGGGCTTTGCTTGGCGCCCACATAATGCAAAACGTTCCTCTAAGGTTGACAGGGACCGCTTCCTACGCGGACCCTTGGTGGTGATCAACTGGAAGTCGCTCAGAAAATCAACCACCTAGGCAATTGGATCAATGCCCGTGGAATCGAAGAGAAGGTCACGAACCTTATAGCAGAAGCTCAAGGGGCTTTTGCTATAGTTCTCCACCTATTGTTCCGGAGTGACATCACTCTCTCCGTGAAGATTAAAGTGTAGAATGCAGCCGTACATTCGACTCCACTGTACGCTTTCAGAAACATGGTCCGTTTCATCGGCAGACGTAAATTGGCTAGTTACATTCGACCGCCGGTGCGTTCACAATTTGACTCAAGGCTGGTGGGAACACCGCGTGTGCAATGAGCGCGTTCGGCGCCTTGTTTATGGCACACAAAGAGGAAGTGAATCGCTCAGCACCGTTATCTCACGCATCAGGCTCCGATGGCTGGGCCGCGTGTTGAGCGTGCCAGCCCACCGACTCCCGCGACGTGCGTTGTTTTCCCCCCAGGGTGTGGATGGAAGAAGAGGAGGGGAGACCTAGGGATGACTTGGTCAAGAGAAACAAAGGCCCTAAATTCGAAGTTGACTTCAGTTAGCGCATCTTGTGTCCCTGGTTGGGGCCCGAAAGATGATGCGCACGTTTGGGTGGATACACTTGTCAGCATGGCTAGGAGACAACCTTAATGGCGTTTGTCTTGTGAGTTTCTTCTTCCACCCCCACCCAACCACGATCTGAATTTTGGCACATAATATAACATTTTAACGGCACATTGGTCGACTGTTAGCCCTCCAGAACGATGTCCATCCGTTACTGCTGACTCCGCTGGCGTGCTTCTGCTTCGTCTTTTTTGTCTTCTGATGTATTGCGGTGATGATGATGATGAACATCGAGTTAGAATGAAAATCAACCGCTAGATGCAGTGAACCGAATGCGTGAACTTGTCTGATAGGGTCTCCAGCCACTGTTGTGGACTATCCACAAGACGCCCATCCACGAAGAATGCACACACCGGTCCGACCAAGTTGCTCAGTCGATTTCTTCTTGTTTGTGAGCCACGTAATGAAATGGTCACCTCACGTTTTCGCCCAGCTTGGTGCAGCGACGGCTTATACTAAATGCCTGGGAAGTCAGTCGATAGACATACGGAGGACATGACCTAGGGAACGCAAGCGCTTGCGTTTTAGCAAACACTCCACTGAGGCACCAGAGGGTTTCTTGCCAAAAACCAGTTGGCAGACCTCAGCATTGCTCACCGATGGTCAGACACATACAAGTGTTTAATCCTTTCACTGTGAACTGATCAGGTCTCTGATCCAAGCAGTTAGACCGGCCTTATCGCAGCGTAGTATACCCTGCCTTTCACTGAGAGACTGATAACCTGCCATCTCCATAGATGGTTGAGCCTCTGGAAAGCCACCGG